GGTCACAGGATCAAAATGTGGATACTTGGTAACCACCATTTATTTATGATGGTTGCAGCGTCCCAGGATCACATGGTCACCTTTTGTGACCTTCTGGCCAGCAAAGTCAAAGGGGAAGCCAGTTTCACTTAACCACCATCATTACTAACCTTATTAAAACTGCAGGGATTACGTAACAACTGTGTGGCAAGAAAAGCCGTAAAATGGAACAAAACTCACGCAACACATTTCCCACTTAGCAGAGGAAATGTTGAGTTCAATTGCGGTCATTCAATCGAGGACTACCTGTATAATGGTATGCAAGTATTCAGTCCGTCCAATGACTCAAAAACCTTTCCCAAGGAATTCCTTTTTTGTTTGTTTGTTTGGTACAGATGATGCAAAAAGGAAGTCCCACGGTCTGCATTAACGACTGATCAGGATCCAAAAAATTGAATTCAAATAGCCATATCCGATAACCCAGTTTTAGTCACAGGTATCCTTCCCGATTAGATGTTTACAAACAGATGAAGTAGCTGATAGAACCAGTTGCACTGCTGGTCTATCTACCTCAGTCTTGTCTGTTGCAGGAGTGGGTCTCTGTAGTTTCAAACAAAACATTTCTTTCTTTCTTTCTTTTTCCTGTCCCAAGATCTTTTTTAGAATGCTGGAGACTGAATCCACGAGGGGTACGAAGGAATGGCTGCAGAAGCTGCAGTCAAAAGGACACAAGGCAGAAAAAAGACCTGTTTGAAGAACGAATGTCAGAAAATAAGGATGGATGAAGCAATAATCAGGCAGAAAAGCCGAGTGCTTCAGGGTGATCCTTCCAAATATCTCCGGAAAGGGATTGGCAGAGGCTGTGTGGACCTCTCTGAAAAGTCATTTCCCTCATTCCGGGAAGCTGGTCTTTAAACATTTGGCACTGTGCGATCAGCATTGAACACAAAAGGCTTTTTCTCTCTTATAAAATTCTTGTAGAAAAATGGAAATAATGCTGAAGCACACCAAGACAAGGCAAGACACAACCTTTGCCTTAAAAGTTGCTGCTAAAGCTGCCAGGGGACTAAAAGGTGTCACAACTTCCGCCTCCATTTCAGCTGAAGGACCCAAAGATCTAAGCCAATCTTCCAATTTAGGACCCTGCATAACCCACTTGGAAAATCGATTACCACTAATTCTACAGACAGCTAACTCTACAGACCGCTTTATGCAGACAGCTGGAAAACGGCTGCCTAAAAAGGTATGAAAATCGCAAAGGCACAAAAACTGTCTTTAAGTTTTAGCTTTAGCTTTTTCTTTAATCGGTTTAGCTGCTGTGATGCCAGCATTTTCTGGGTTCAAGATGCCTAACCACAATGAGTTCAAAATATACTTTTTTCAGAGTCACCCTTGCTCTGCAGTTCAGGGTTATTGGGTTTTTTGGGTTTTTTTTTAGCCTTGTGCTATTATCTTTCTGGATCAATATTAAGAAATAAAAATGGAGAACGCCGTTGTCGAAATGACCTTCCCTCTACCAGTCAAGGCTTACATTACTTCATCCAGAAAGAGACAAGTCTAGGAACCAAGCGAGTAATTGCACGATTTCATTCCCCGTTAAAACCAATTGCTGGAAACAAAGAAAAACACGCTCATAAAGTCACACTGCCTCCAATGAAGTAGAATAGCTCCTGCTAACCAAACTGTTGGACTGACAAAAGCCAGCTCAATGACCTTCTGGGGTTGCTAATGACTATAACCCTCAATGCTAACAGCCGAACAACAAAGCCTACGGTGAATACAGTCTAGGATGCCTCAACCTTGAATCAATGTGTTGTGTCCACATGCGTAGGGGTAGATAAGGAACCACCACCTGGCAAAAGTTCTCCTCTCACGGACCCAGAACAAAGTCTAATCTCTCCTGGGATTTCAAAAGCCTCCACATAGACTGAGAAGTTCAGAAGGTATAGATTCTTGCCTCAATAAAAGTCAAGGCATCTATCATTCATGCAATTGGATCCACGCTCCAAGTATCACATGGGCCCACGAATGCCAGGCTATTAGAGCTTGACTTCAGACGTAATGTAGACAGAGAAGTTCCCCCGGTGCACATTCTCCAGTGGGTAACATAAAAACGAAGAGAACCAGCAGTTGACCTTTCTTCTTGAGGGTGGAGCATTCCTTTAAAAGGCTTTTGCCGCCTATTTTCACCTCAGAAGCCCAGGTCCTTATTTTCTAGGGCTCTTCACTCCTTATTTCTTCCAGTGGCTTGGAAGGCATCCTTTTGCAAATGCAGAGATTAAGACAAGCCTTCCCTTCCCCCTACAATATCTGTTGCAAATGCAACCATAGCATTTGAGATCCTCGTTGACTGAAATCTTAAGAAAAAACAAACATTTTACATTATGCCGCCGGGCAGCTTAGCAGCAAGCTAGTATTGACAATACTTGAGTTTAAAGCAGTCCGACCTCTTGTAAAAGGAAGTTCAGAAATATTGGCAGGAGAGACATTAGCACCTATTGGTCATACCGGGCACGAAAACCAACCACATAAATAATCACAGGCATACAGTTTTGTGACACAAGTAAAAATTCCACAGGAACCCCTGCAAAAGAGTGACAAAAATCTTTTAGAGTACAGTACTAGGGAGGGAGGGAGGGAAGGAAGGAAGGAGGAAGGAAGGAGGAAAGAAGGAAGGAAGGAAGGAAGGAAGGAAGGAAGGAAGGAAGGAAGGAA